GGGGGGGGGAGGTATAACAGTTCACTTAACTAGTATTAGATGACAAAAATTAAGGGCTATAATATTATGTGGAAAAATTCAAAACTGTACCTCTTTTTGCAAGTCTATTTTCGAATGCATTTAAAAAATAACCATGGAAAAAACAGGTGATTTGGAAGCAAGGGAATAATGTGTGAGTTTTTTCATTTTTAAAAATTTTGTTCTCTTTAGACTATTATTTGTGAAATAAAATAAATAACTGAAAGGAAATTAGTTCTTAGAGACACAAAAGAACACAGTACATAAATGGTATTAAATATCCTGTAACTGTTTACTCTTGGCAAGGAAGAGAAAAAAATACATCCACATACTAAGCAATGAAATAACACAGTAAGTGACAGAAATAAAAATCCAACTCACCTGGAACTTGATCATTTTCTCCTCCTTTTCCTAGGGAAAGGCAGAGACCTGAGAAGGCAGGGCAGGTGATTAAGAAAGAAACCATGGAAGAAAAGGAAATATAACTGCAAATTAGAAGAAAGTGTCCCCTCCCCCAGGCGGATGCTGCCACACAGCCCTCAGCAGGCAGAGCACGGGCCGGACTCCAGCTACCACTAGGCTATCCTGGCAGCTGCCCTCATGCATGCCACGGCCTGCACAGCTCTTCCTGGTCATCCTCACGCACCTCTCTGCCCCTAAGTCCTTGTTCTGACCCTGGCAAACATGGGAAAGATGAGGCAGTGCAATGTACTGGTTTAAAGTGGACTCTGGGACAACGTTTGTTTTCAAAACCTGGCCTTGCTATATATTTGCTGTACATCTGTGAAATACTGCCACTGCAACATATATATTTAACCATGACTAAATTAATTAACCTCTCTATACCTAATTTCTGCAACCTTGGACATGAGGATTATAGAACCAACATTATAAGATTGCTTTTAGGATTATGTGTGAACGGCAGAAAACGGAAAAGCAGATACTATTCCACATCATAAAACTCTCCTTGCAAATGTGTCTTATAAGACATCTGGGTGGCAAAGATGATGGCTTCTTAATAATTTGTTACTTTCGTAATAATGTTTGTTTACACACTGAGATCACCCTTCTGAAAAGTTCAATTGCTGGTGAATATTCTTCCTGAAGGAGGCTCAGATGGTACATCCCTCTTCCTACATGCATTTAATGAAAGATTTAAAGAAGGTTGTGCTGTTAGTGTATTTCTCCTATCTATGTAAGTGTTGGCTCAGTGCTTGACTGTTGGGAGGACTTGGAGACCAGGAGTTTAATTTCTAGGGTTCTTCTCCAAGGTTATTTATTTTATATTACTGTTCTCAAGGTTATTTACCTTAGTTACTGTTCTCAAGCAACTTCAAGATCATTTGTAGAAGAGAAAGAACTCAAAAAAGGGCTAATCATGAGCTGTGAATAAGGCAGTGCCTTTTAGCATCACCCTAGGGAGGTTTTCTGTTACTCCAGAATCCGTAGATAATTGAATCATTGCTGCACACACATAGTCATTTTCTCTAAGTATATTAAAAAACTGTTATCTTTAATTTTCAGAACTCTGATTATGACATATCCAGAAGTCATTTTCTTTCAGTTTATTATATTTTGAATTCAGTGAGCTTCTCAAATAAGTCAATGTATGCATCTCACCAAATCTGGGAGTTTTCAGCCAGTACTTCCACTCAAATGTTCCTCTCTTCTCCTTCTGAGACTCCAGTGATATGAACATTAGACTTTGATAATTGTCCCACATGTCCCTAAGACTCTGCTCGTATTTTCAATGTCCCATTTTTTTCTCTCTGCTGCTCACACTGAAATATTCATATCCATCTATGTCAGATTCATTCTTTGTCATCTCCAGTTTGCTACTTAGCCCATCAAATGAGTATTTTATTTCAGATACTGCATCATTTTTCATAGCACAAACATTAATTCTGTAAGAATTTTAAACCCCATAAAGCTTTTTCTCTAACTGTAATAGAATCAAACTAGAAATGAACAGCAAAAAGATACCTGGACCATCTCCAAACATTTGGAAGTTAACCAACATCTCCCAAGCCACCAATGGGTCAACGTCACAAAAGAAACTACAGCATATTTTGAATGGAATCAAAATGAAGACACAATGAATCAAAATGTATGAGACGCAGCTACAGCAGGTATTACAGAGAAATGCATCCAATGACACATGTGCTAGAAAAGAAGAGTCTTGAATCAATTATTTAAGCTAAGAATTAGGAAAGAAAGGGTAAATAAATTAAACCTAAAGCAAATGGAAAAAAAGGAAATAAGACAGAAATTAGTAAATCCAAAACAAACATAAAACATAAACCAATGTGACTGAAAACACAAAAACACTAGACAAAACCAGGGACTGGCAACATACGGCCATTACACAGGCCCAGTTTTTTTGTTTAGGTTTGAACTCACAATAGTTTTTACCATTTTTAGTAATGGACTAACACTGATTTTTTAAACGGTTGGGGTGAAAAATTTTTTAGGAGTATTATTTTATGACATGTGAAAATTATATGAAATCCACATTGCAGGGTCCAGAAGGTATTACTGGAATATATCCATGCTCATTTATTCAAGTACTGCTTATGGGTGCTTTTATACTCCAGCCGCAGATTTCTGTAGCTGCAACCGAGACAGTATGTGCCCCTCTCATTTCTTGGTACTGCTGCTGAGCACAGTTCCCACTTCTAACTCAACAGTGCTTCAAGTACCGAATGTACTGCTGCACCACAGTATTTAAATTTTTAAATTACCAGTACTTACTCATCACGTCAAAACAAGAAGAGAAAAACAGACTTAAATGTCGCACTTTTTAAAGGCACAATGGAAGTGAAATGCTTTGTTACTGAATTCGGTGACAAAGCATTTCACTTATTATGCAGTAACAAAGTGGTTATGCTAAAAGAATACGATATATGCCAATAGTATCAGACTGAGCACTCATCGCAAATACCCGCAATTCACAGTAAAGCAGTGGCCAGAAAAATTAGAAAATTTAAAATAAGATGTCTCATCACACATTATCCAAAGCAAGTTTTAGCTATTCAAACATTTAAAACGCTTCCATTTCTGACCCAAGCAAAGAAAGTAATTCACTAATGATGAGTTAACTAACTCGTGGCTGATGACAGGAGCCAAAGAAATGTGTTCAGAGAAAATAAATTTGTGTAAGATTATTAGACTTTGGGGAAGAATAATTGCTTGAAGGACTGAAGACAATGGGAACATTACAGCCAATTAAAACATATGGGAGATTATTCTAATAAATTTTATTTGGCTCCTGATGTTGCTCAGCAGTTGTTTATTTAAGGAATGAATGCCAAGTTTGAAGTGACTAAATAATTAGCCTCAAGGAATATAGTCTGCATGGAACAAACGCAGGCGAAAATATTTTCAAAGTTGAAGAGATACTACTTCACTACAACCTTAAGTATAATCTGCTAGGATGTATTAAAACCTATTACAAATTTACAGAGCTTAAAAATATGTGTTTAAAGCCTATGGTTATTCATTGTCTTATTCACAGCATGCACTCTGCAGAAAATACTCTATCATGTGCTACTGAACCAGCGCTGCTAACAATGAACTTCATTCACTCTCATGGACTTCACCATCAGCAGTTTCAAGAATTTTGTCAGAAAAAGAAGCTGAATGTTCTGACTTGTCTTACCATACCGTAAATCAGTGGCGGAGCAGCTGTGAAGTTTTACTGTGATTTTTTTTTCTTTTTAAATTTCAGGACTGATACTGGAATAGTTCTGCACGAGAAAATTGACCTCAACCACACTGAAAGGCTTTGGTAATTAGCTTTAGCTGCAGATTTGATGATGTTTCTTAATGAATTCAACCTATAAGTAGAAGGCAGAACAGCACTTATACTGCAGAAAAGTTATTTCAATGACAACTGATGTTGTTAAAATCACAAGTAATGCCAAAGTACGTTATCACTGTCAGTGCTGTCAACGTTAAAAACAAGCAGGATCTTCATTTCCACACAAATTTGATAGTTTCTGTATTTTCTAAGCTTAAACACAAGTGCAGAGAAACTTCCACAGTTCAAAATTGATTTAATTATAATTGAGGGGCTTCCTTTTGATCTTCCCCTGGAAATAATTAATCTGCAGTGTAATGACATACTAAAAGGCAGATATCAAAAGACCACAGACAATTCTATAAATGTATTCTGTATTAGTTTCCTTTTACTGCTACAACAAATTATGACAAACTTGTTATGCTACAAACCTTTTACTACCTTTATGCTACCTTTTACTGCTACAAACAAATTATGACTTAAAATGGCACAATTTATTCCTTTTTTGTATGGAGGTCAGAAATGGGAGATTAATTTTACTGGGCTAAGGTCAAGGTGTCAGCAGGGCTGGTCCTTGCTGGGGGCGAATCCATCCCCTTGCCTTTCCCACCTTCTAAAGCTACTAGCATTCCTTGGCTCATGGCTACATCACTCCAATCTTTGCTTCTATCGTCCCAGTGCCTTCTTCTAACCTTGAGCGTCCTGCCTTCCTCTTGTGAGGACCCATGCTATGATACTCTGCCCACCGGAATAATTTCATAATTTCCCCAGCTCAAGAGCCATAACGTGATCACATCTTCAAGGTCTTTTTTACAATGTAAGAAGGTAACATTCACAGGTACTGGGAAGTAGGATGTGGACATCTTTGGGGAGCCACTATACAGCCTATTACATCCTCCAACTTATTAATATGCATAATTAAAATCACTGCCTGTGGACTGATAATATCTTGTAGTACCTATTTGTTTAAAGTAATTTTCAAAGAGAAAATACACAAAATCTCATTACAAAATGGCATGAACAGATGAACATTTGCAGTCCATTTTGACGATAGGGAATACCAATCTGGAAGGTCAATTAAGTGAAATGTTATTTTTATTAGTAATCCTGTATTACAAAAAACTGTATTCAATTATTATATTTTGGAATTTTTCAATAACAAATTTTGTGGATATTTGGTTTCTCTCTTGTTATATACATAACTAAATAAAATCTTTGATCTTCTTGCTTGACTGTAAAAGCTGAAAATGTTAACAATCTGGACCTTTAAAAAAAAGGTTTGCCAACCCCTGGACAAAAGCGATTGAACCCACAGGGAGTTTCTTTGAAAAAATGAAGAAATTAAACTTATAGCCAGATTGATGAGGAACAAGAGAAAAGACACAAATTACCAAAATCAAGAATGAAAGAAGGAATATTGTTATAGACTCAACAAACATGAGAAGAAGAATAAGGGAAAAGGGAATGTTACAAGAAACTTTCTTTACATTCATGAATTCAATATGGTAGGTGAAATAATTCCTTGAAAAACACAAAGTACAAAATATTGATGAGAGAAACCAAATTAAAGACTTGTGCTCTCCATAAGTCACTGAAAAGACAAGCAACAGGCTGAAGAGAAGTATTTGCAAATCACACATGGAACAAAGGACTCATATCCAGACTACACGAATAACTCTAAAACATCAACAATTAGGAAAACACAGCCCAATTACCCAATTTAAAACAAGACAAAACATATAAATGAACACTTCACCAAAGAAGATTTAAAGCGAGCAAATAAGCTGGAAAAAAGATCTACCTGCTGAACATCTTTATAGTCAATTAGGAAAATGTCAAATTAAAGTCACAATGAGATTCCAGTACACACTTATTAGAATGGCTAAATTTTAAAAAACTACTAAATGCTGACAAGGATGGGGAGCAGCTAGAACTCTCACACACCATTTGTGGAAATGCAAAACGGCAGATACTCTGGGAGTGCAGTTCGGCAGTTTCTTACAATGTTAAACATACACTTTCCATATGACCCAACAATTCCATTCCTGCGTATGTACCCTAGAAAAAGAAGCACAAAAACCTGTACACACATTGGCAGCAGCTTTTTCATAACTGCCAAGAACTGGAAGCAACACAAATAACCTACGACAGATGAATGGATAAACCATGGAATGTCCATAAATGTAATATTAACCAGAAATAAACACAAAGGAAGTATTAATACATACAACTTGATGAATGTCAGAGGCATTATGCTGAGTGAAAGAACCTAGCCTCAAAAGGTTATATATGGTATGAGCTCATTTATGTGATATTCTCAAAAAGACAAAACTATAGGGTTATAGTAGTTATAGATGTGGTAAGGGATTCACATAGGGAAACAAGAGGGGAGTTTTTTGGGGTGATGGGATTGCTCTGCATCTGATAATGGTTGTAATTATACAAATCTATACCTGTGCTAAAATAGAATTGTACCCCAAAAAGAAAAAAAGGGTGAATTTTACTATATAACTGTTAAAAAAAATTCCTCATCTGTAAAAGAAAGGTAAGAATAGGTTTGTTATGAGAAATAAGTTAATATGTATAAACCACTGGAAACACTGCCTCCTAGTCATAAATATTAGCTTTTATCATTTCTACCAAGTGTTTCTCAGGAAATTTGTTTTAGATCATCAAAATAATTGCTTGTCAACTTTTCAATCCTATGAAATGGTGAATTCTATGGCTCACAAATATTAAGTGAGATTAAGGAATATCCCCCATGCATTATTTCTATCCCATTTTGCAACCTAATCCCAATTTCAGGAACTCTGCACTGCAAACCCTTGATGTCAAGCTGTCTGTTAAATAGCTACTCTAACCACAGACTGTTGCCAACTTTATACTGCACGCTGGGCATAGAGAGAAAAATATGATAAGGTCACAGCAACGCAAGAACTTCCAGTGATACGGAACAAAGAACGACAAAACAGGTAAATCAGACTCTATATGGGAAAACAAAATTTATCACCATCTCTGTCCAAAGTGCAATGCTTTTGTGCCTCCTAGCTTTCTCAAGTACCACTCTACAAGCTGAAAAGAGTGTGAAACCTCCAATACCCCTTTCTTGGTCTTGGATATAAACAATATATGATAATCAAATTTTGGCAATTATGACAAGCAATCATTATTATACAGACTCAATATTAGGGACTTGCTTTAAAATACTGAAACCAACAAAATTGGAGAGGGGGATTGATACCACCAAATGTTAACAAGGGTTAAGTTTGGGTGATGGTTCCACAGGGGTTAATTATTTTATTCCTGTTACATTTGGGAACATTTATGAATTTCCACAGCAAAAACTTAAGGGGAAAATAAAATCTATGGTACTTGTTTTGTAAAACTTAAGTAAAATATCCAAAAGTAAATCTATGGACCAGGAAAACATTAC